GACTCTTAACCCAGAAGTAATTAAGATAATGCAAGTGCTTGTATCCACGTATAAGGCAGATCAAAAGAAGGGGAAAAAAGAGGAACAACGTAAAGAAAAGAGACAAAGAGAGCTGGGTGTTCTTAAGTTGTTTGAAAATGAGGGACAAAAACTGATAAAAGATACAAAAGATAAAAGAGACAGAGGTATAGAGAAAATGGCAAAAGAGGCAAAGGTAACAGAAAAACAAATGGCAGAAGTCAATACACCTTTCTCACATACGGATTCAGCAAAAAGACCCCCACCTTACGAGGAAGAAGTAGAGTTTAAGGATGTCTATCCTCAGCTTCCAGTAATCATTCAGGAGGGTGATTATTGCATCAGAGATGAAGATGAACGAATAATAGAGAGAGGACAAGCAGAAACGACCATAAAGATTAATCCAAACTCCAAAAGTAAGAAGAAAACGACATGTCTGGAAACTAAGGGTGGAGTGAGGTTCAGGAGGATGGAATTTGAAGATGATGATGATGATCAGAGTGATTCAGAAGAGATCATGGGTGGATATGACCCTGTGATCAGACGGAGGTTGGCCAGAGCGGAAAGAAGGGATGATGGAAGTTGGAAGAAGAAGGATACAAGAGATCCGATCTCTGATGAAAGTGAAGATGGAGACAGCGATGAAGATATGGAGATTAAAGGTGCTTCATATTCAAGAGGATTTTATCCTACAATGACTAGCACAGAAGAAATAGAAAGAGATATGGATCGATGCATATCATGCTTGGATAAGGCTAATAATTTAGAAGAAGTAAAAGAATTGGAAGAACATCTCAAGAAGCTGAAGATACAGAAGAAAAAACTGCTGAAAAAAGGATCCCAAGAATTGGAGAGGAAGTATACATTGCGGCCAAGAAAAGAGAGCACAAGTAAGAAGATGATGCCAGTGATAATTCGAGGACAGAACCTGGAGTATAAGCCTTTGCAGAATACCGATATGTCAGATATACTTGAGAAGCTGCCTACTCTTCAAGATGGAGCATATCCTTGGATTTCAAAGTTGGAAGAAATTACGGTGGGAACACAGTCTGCCATAGGAGACATTAAGATACTTTTGGCTAATCTCCTTGGTATTCCAGGAATGGAAGAAATTTTTCAGAGAGCTGGACTTGATCGATATGTGGGGACTGCGGTGAATGATCCTGAGTTGTTAGCTGCAAGTAGAAATCGGCTGTGGAGAGCACTGAAAGATACGTTTCCAACAAATGTGCATCCTGACAACATTCTGATTGACCCACTAGGACAACAAGAAAATCAGAGAGCCTATGTGTCAAGAGCTCATCAAGTGTGGAGAAATATTACTGGAAATGATCCAGATGTGAGTCAAATTGAGCAGTCAATTTTGCGAGCTAAACTACAGATGGGGCTGCCCTCACCAGTCAGGAGCAAACTGGCAGAGGTGGTTGGACTTGGAAGCATGGAAAAAGGTATCTATACAGATCATATAGCCCATCAAGTGGATCTATACAGGAAGAAGGAACACAACCAGAAAGAACAGGACCAAGAAACTCTCAGAAAACTCAATCAAATACAACTGGTGGAGAAGAAGAAGGAGAAGAAATAGGTTTTGGTTATGCAGAATCAGTGTTCACCAAATCAACAATCACTGCCACAGCTTCAACCGAACCAGGTTCAACTGCAATTGTACTAGCCACCAATAGCGGTACCAGTTGTTTCATATCCACAGCCAGTTTCTGGACAGACACAGAATTGGAGAGGAAGAGGACGAGAAGGCTTAGGAAGAGGAAGAGGAGGAAGATTTAAGCCATACTTCCAGCAATCTTCAGAAGTGTGTTATAATTGTGGACAGGTTGGTCACTTTGCCTGTGAGTGTAATGAGCCAGGAGGAAACACCAGAGGAAATTTCAGAGGAAGATACAGGGGTCAGTCAAGATCATTTGGAGGACCGGTGAACCCTTATAGGGGCCCGGAGTAAGGATTCTAGAGGTGCCCAGAAGATCCGAAAGGGGGGTGTCAGCTGGTAGCATCAGGACCGGAAAAAGATCCAACAATTGAGGTGAAAGTAAACAACCGACCATTGGAAGTGATGGTGGATAGCGGAGTTGCTTTTATCTGTGTTTGGCCTGAAGATGCTACACATCTCACTATGTCAAATCAACTGATTAGGACAATTGGATTTGAGGGAGTGAAACAGCTGATTCCTCTTACGGAACCAATTGAGCTCTGCTATGAAAATCAGAAAATTACAATACCCATACTGGTATCGGAAAATACACCTATTGCATTGTTGGGAAGAGATGCATTGTGTAGATTGAATTGTACAATAAAATGTACGCCAGACGGCTGTCTGGTAGAAGTGCCAAAAGAAAAGGTTTACCAATTGTTGATGACGACAGAGATTGATTCTTCTTCAGTATTTTGGATTGGAAATCTCAGTGAAGATTTTTTGAAGCAGGCTAAGATATGGGATAAATTCATTGTGGAAAACATGCCAGATGCGAGGCTTCCGGAATATCCATTTCATTGTATGCTCAAGTATTTCAAGAATGCTGCCCAATCGAACTCAGAGGAATGGTTGAGTCATCAACCAAAGAAAGTTCAACTCAGCTCATGTTGCATTATTTTAGGACCACAAGGAGCAGCTATGAAGATAAACACAGACGATTATCTGGATAAAGAATTTGAGATTGAGAAGAGTGTGCCACATGTGACCTTGTTGGTTTCTGAAGACTATGAGCAGAAGCATATAGGAGAAATGATGACAGAAGCAGAGAAAGCTGTTTTCGTACCAATGAAAGAAAATTTGGCAATTTGGAGGAGTGAAGATCAGCGATTTCTCAAAATCATTATTTCGGCTCAAGGACAAGGAGAGACACAAGCTGTACGGATGACACATGAATCTATTTGCAGTGCGAAGATGGATTCAGACCCTATGAAAGAGGAGATGATGCAACAAGTTCCAGAATGTTTGTGGTCTCAAAACAGTGCTGATATTGGACTTGTGAAATCAGCCCAACCGGTGAAAGTTGAACTTCGACCAGGAGCCAGACCTCCTTGGAAGAATCAGTATCCATTGAAAGATGAAGCAATCAAAGGGATCGAACCACAAATTGAAGGACTTTCGAAAGCAGGTGTTTTGAGGACAATAAAAAATCCTCAGAGTAACATGCCTTTGTGGTCTTTGGAGAAACCATGAGGGGTTGATAGTAGCGCCTCTAGACCTATTAGGTCTGATGATTCAGGAAGCATATGGGTTAGCCAATGTTGCAAAGGGGGGAGGTTAGGAGAAAGATCATAAAGGAGTATGGTTTTTGGGAACCATATTTGCTTGAACAGGTTGACTATGTCATAGGCAGGTGCACAATCTGTCTGAAAAATAATGTTCGCAGGGGTGTGACTGTTATTCCTGGTTACATTCCAACACCAAGAGGTCCTAATATGTCAAACTAAGCGTAAAGATGCTCAGTCGGTTGCAAAGTTCTTGTGTAAAGAAGTCATAAGCAGGTGGGGACTTCCCGATCGAATATCCTCAAATAATGGGAAAGAGTTTTGTGGATAAATCTGTGAAATTGATTTTTCAAAAATTGGGGAAAATGTCAGAAAAAAAAAAGTAATGAAAACTTGGGTTGTAGTAACTCATGTAAATTTGGAATATCTAATTGTGTGATAATTTTTCACATTTCTTTGCATATTGTTGTGATATTTAGTCTTTTCTTATGAATCAAAGGGGGGGAAATGGAATGTGATTCATTTTTATATATCATTTTAATATTATTTTTGATATTGATGTTTTAATCTTCATGTGTTGCTTTGAAAAAGATACTGGTTGGTCTTTTCTTTTCTTCCAGGAGTATATGGGGAATGTGTAGAGTGGGATTCAAATACTCAAAAATGGACAATATGAATGGACTGGAGGAAGTTGAACAAGGAAGGTGTGGAAATGTTCAGATTCCATCATCGACGTTGCATTGAAAGTCAACACTGCGGAGGAGCTGCAGTGTAGTGGACTACATTCCAGTGTCATATTCTTTCTGTATTAATTTTTGAAGAATGATGTTTTCTGTTGTTGGGTACATGTGGGAACCTCAGATGCTTTTGTTTTTCTTTGACGCTTAGGGATATTGGGTCTAGGCAGGGACAGAGAGAATCCACAGGAGGGTCCGATGGGTCGACCAGCCTTAATGTGGACATGTTTTTTTATTGTATTTTGTTTTCTGAGGCTTTCATGTGTATTCAATTCCATCATAGCTTAAAATGCATTGATACAGATTTATAAGTTGATCTGGAGTACTTAGGTGGTCGCCTGGGGCAGAGGGGCCGTGAGAGAATTTTCCTGTCTTGATTGATTGATATTTGGAAAAAAAGCTGCCAGATAGGTTTTTCGCTCTTACACTCCATAGAAATGTATTTACACTCCATAGAAATTTGTTTACACTCCATAGAAATTTGATTACACTCCATAAATTTGGTTTTATTGCTAAAGTTACACAAGAAGTCTGATGTAATAAAAATTGTTATTTGTCATAATCCTATTATTTTTGTTTTCGAGACTTATTAGTCTCGAGGGGGGAAATATGTAGTATCTGACCGTTTATAATTTTGGCTGAGGTTTCATAGTGTGTGTTAGATTAACTTTGCTCTGCTTTGCTGAAACATCTGGAAACATTACTATAGGGGCCCCCTGAAACGGAGGATATTTGGAGATGTGGTCAGGGATTGGTCTATCCAAAACCACCCATTTAATGGTACATAGGATATACACCATGTTTGAACAAAGGGACAGGGAGAATAACATATTAGAGATTGGGTTGGTTGTTCTCCAGATTTCTGCAGAAATCTGTAAATTGATGCTGTAACCTTTGATGTAATAAACTATTATAATCAAGTACAGTATCAGCGGATTCCTTGTCCACGCAGCATGTCAGCATGGTTGTCTCGACACCACATTAGTGCATTGTTTCCATTATTTTTTTCAAAATGCCCCAGCAGACTCCGACGAGATGAATTTGCATGATATCAACCTGTGGTACACATACGACATGATACAGCAGAGGATCCGCTCTATCAAAGAGACTGCTAAGTTTGACAGTGAGTTTACATCAGCCAGCAACTACAGTAACTAATTTAGCTAGCTAGACCAGGGTAGGGGTCTCCAATAGGTCAATCAAAAATACATGCAATTTTTACGTGTTCAACCGCAAAACTGTCATAAACAAGTCTCACAAGTATCAGACACCGCAAGCTCCCAGCTATTATCTAATCAACGCAACATTGACATTATCCCACCCCTGGTTAGCCACTTTTGGCTTAAAAAGCCTAACACAATATCTGCCAATTAATTTCCAGCAATATTGCCACTGTGTGGTGCGCGCATTTGTCCATCACTCCATGTGTAGCCAGTTGATGTGGCAACCATCTTGTGGGTTGAAATAAATACTTACCCCAAAACCTTCTAAATTAAATGTTAACTGCAAAGTAGGCTTATCTGGCAGAAGTATATCATGAGTAAGTATATAATTGGTATCTATTATTTGTAAACTTTGCCATGAAAGGGTGCAGCAGTACAGAACCATCGCTAGGCCAGCACATTAGATGTCACATTCTTTTTTTCTCTTTTATGATATCATGGCGGTCCACAAATAAACGTTTAAAGTGCATGCCACCACCTAAGATTATGAACCCTGCCAAGATAGCCTAAATAGGAGGCCTATTGTGTGTTGTTTTCTTTGCCTGTGTTTTATAAATATGACCTGTGTGTGCCTGGGTGCAGAGTATAGCTATGACTGGAACACCAGTGTGATAGAACAGGAAATGAAGTTTCAACACTGGACAGCTGATGACCTGCTCAACCAGAGACGTCAGTTTGAGATTTTTGACACCAACAATGACCGCACGCTGTACTTTGACGAGTTGTGAGAGAACACAGTAAATTCAGATGTGACTTTTCCTGATGTCATGATGTGGCTACTCAGTGATTTTTAACTGAAGAGGCTGTAGGTGGCAGCACACAAATTCCATAACACGATAATGAGGTAGTCTTATCATGAGTCTCTCTGTCCTGGTTTCGAAACATCTCACATGAGTAAAAGTGGGTGCTACTATCGCAGACTTACTTCCATTCCTCTCCTCTACCTCCTAACAGTTCCTCATCTCTGAACATGGTCAACTATGAAGGCCAGAAAGGCGATAATTAACAATGCACAAAGCCAACTACAATTGCATAAATTTGAGGAGTATCTTCTTCTTCTTTGGTATTATGGCGGTCTGCAAACAAATGTTATAGGTGCATGCCGTCACCTACTGTGTTGGCTGTGTATCAGCCTACTATTCTGTAGTATGAATTCATTACACTTTGTGAAAAATTCTCCCTACCAACTAACCCTACACCCATAAAAACCTCATCACTATTCCACTACTTTGGCCCTATCTGATCCTACACCACCAGGCTGGCAGCCTGGGAGGACGGGACACTATAGTTCAAAACACCTTGTAACTTCTGCAGTAAAATCTCGTACACCCAAGTACTTCTCTGCAGCTGCCACCACAATGTCTATCCTTTGTGATTTACATTCCATTCCTGCTATACAGTTGTCATGAATCCCAAAACACCAACCTTACTGAAGCATGTTATTACTATCACTCTCTATTGACCTCGGCCTTGAGGAGTTCCCCCAGGTAGAGCACACACATAATTACATTATTTAACCTGTTTTGGACATATTATAAGAAGCAGTGATGTGAAGCTTCTGCATCTACTTACAACCAACACCTTGTTCGTTTTTATTGCAGAACAGAGGATGTGTCCCTGTATATTTTGTGTCTAGGTCTATATTGTGATTATATTGGTCTGTATTGTGACTGTGTTGTCTCCCCTCCTACAGCTGTTGTATGACCTTAAGCAGGGCGCAACTGCCTCTCGAGAGCGAGGACAACAAGGACACGGCCACCGGTGGCATCTGTGAGGTGGCACGCATGGACACCTTACAGCAGATGTGCTATGGTGTCTTCTAAACACAAACACTTACACCTCATAATATGATAGATTTGTTCTACTTTAACTGGAATTGAGAAAAGTATATTGTATAAATTGGCTTTATATAAATCAAAATGATTAAATATACAGTAATTTTTCCAACCTGTTGTTTTGTCTCAGTGTGAATCAGGTCATTTGAAGTCATGATGGTTTCTGTGGTTTTGCATTGTCTGCACTGTTGAACTATGTTTCAATTCACAATCACATTCACAACTAATGTCCATGCAGTTGTCAGCTCTAGTTTTACGGTAATGTGACTAAAATAAATAATCAAGTCAATATATTGAATTCTTTATTTCTGCAGGCCTTAAAATAAACAAATATAAAACATGGAATGCAGAAAAATATAACTAATTGAAGCAGTTGACTTAATTAGCTTACATTGTGGGTTCAGAAGATACCTGAAAGCTTGAGCATGAATAAAGTACAATCATCAACAATGGCAATCCTCAGATATGCAATGCATTAAATCTGCATCATTTGGCCACATTACTGAATGGTGTTGTTACTGGTGATGTTGAATGTTACGGTGCTGTTGGAGAATGTTGTGTTGCGATTGGAGAAAGTTGTGTCGCTGTGGGTGAATGTGCCTTTCAGAGTGGGGTTGGGGGTTTTGGCCATCACAGTGTTGTTGCGGACATCTTCTTCAGTTTGGAGCTGCACATAACACATAATATGAAACTCATTTGAGTCTGAAGCAGACTTAGATAATTTTCTTTTTCAGAGCAAGTGTGCTAGAAGACAGTAGTTTGTACATGAAGACATTGCGTAAAACCTGTATGGCATGTTTCATTGACATCCAGCCTTGAAACGCTTCTGTAAGTGAGATATGGTGTACTTGTAGCTCTGAGACATTTTGGTGTGTGTAGTTGAATGAGAACGCTTTGTGTCTTAAGAGGAGAGTGTGTGTGTACCTGAGATGAGCCAGAGCCGTCCTCACCCACTTGTCCTTAATGCTGGCGCATACCCTCTTGTTCTTCGCGGTATAGAAGCTACAACAGAAAACACACTTAACCTTCAACCTCATAGAGATTACAAATATGAGAATACATTTTGAGAGTAAGGTAACTTTGTGTGTGTATATACAGTGGGGGGGGAAAGTATTTAGTCAGCCACCAATTGTGCAAGTTCTCCCACTTAAAAATATGAGAGAGGCCTGTAATTTTCATCATAGGTACACGTCAACTATGACAGACAAAATGAGAAAAAAAATCCAGAAAATCACATTGTAGGATTTTTAATGAATTTATTTGCAAATTATGGTGGAAAATAAGTATTTGGTCAATAACAAAAGTTTCTCAATACTTTGTTAAATACCCTTTGTTGGCAATGACACAGGTCAAACGTTTTCTGTAAGTCTTCACAAGGTTTTCACACACTGTTGCTGGTATTTTGGCCCATTCCTCCATGCAGATCTCCTCTAGAGCAGTGATGTTTTGGGGCTGTCGCTGGGCAACACGGACTTTCAACTCCCTCCAAAGATTTTCTATGGGGTTGAGATCTGGAGACTGGCTAGGCCACTCCAGGACCTTGAAATGCTTCTTACGAAGCCACTCCTTCGTTGCCCGGGCGGTGTGTTTGGGATCATTGTCATGCTGAAAGACCCAGCCACGTTTCATCTTCAATGCCCTTGCTGATGGAAGGCGGTTTTCACTCAAAATCTCATGATACATGGCCCCATTCATTCTTTCCTTTACACGGATCAGTCGTCCTGGTCCCTTTGCAGAAAAACAGCTCCAAAGCATGATGTTTCCACCCCCATGCTTCACAGTAGGTATGGTGTTCTTTGGATGCAACTCAGCATTCTTTGTCCTCCAAACACGACGAGTTGAGTTTTTACCTAAAAGTTATATTTTGGTTTCATCTGACCATATGACATTCTCCCAATCCTCTTCTGGATCATCCAAATGCACTCTAGCAAACTTCAGACGGGCCTGGACATGTACTGGCTTAAGCAGGGGGACACGTCTGGCACTGCAGGATTTGAGTCCCTGGCGGCGTAGTGTGTTACTGATGGTAGGCTTTGTTACTTTGGTCCCAGCTCTCTGCAGGTCATTCACTAGGTGTGGTTCTGGGATTTTTGCTCACCGTTCTTGTGATCATTTTGACCCCACGGGGTGAGATCTTGCGTGGAGCCCCAGATCGAGGGAGATTATCAGTGGTCTTGTTTGTCTTCCATTTCCTAATAATTGCTCCCACAGTTGATTTCTTCAAACCAAGCTGCTTACCTATTGCAGATTCAGTCTTCCAAGCCTGGTGCAGGTCTACAATTTTGTTTCTGGTGTCCTTTGACAGCTCTTTGGTCTTGGCCATAGTGGAGTTTGGAGTGTGACTGTTTGAGGTTGTGGACAGGTGTCTTTTATACTGATAACAAGTTCAAACAGGTGCCATTAATACAGGTAACGAGTGGAGGACAGAGGAGCCTCTTAAAGAAGAAGTTACAGGTCTGTGAGAGCCAGAAATCTTGCTTGTTTGTAGGTGACCAAATACCATAATTTGCTAATAAATTCATAAAAAATCCTACAATGTGATTTTCTGGAAAAATTTCTCTCAATTTGTCTGTCATAGTTGACGTGTACCTATAATGTAAATTACAGGCCTCTCTCATCTTTTTAAGTGGGAGAACTTGCACAATTGGTGGCTGACTAAATACTTTTTTCCCCCACTGTAAGATTAGCAACAGGAAGGCCAAGAATACAAGGAGTAGCGATGGCAGGAACATCAGTAGAAATTATGAAGAGAAGGTTCCCAGAGAGTAAGGAAGAGATTGGAAATATCTCTGATAAATGGGAAAAAATAACCAGAAAAATAGCAACAAAATGGCCAAAGGAGGGAATGTTTGATGTGGCAGTGTTTGAGGAAATGAATACCCTAATAAAGAACTATAAAACAGGGGAGAGAGGGGAGAAAATAAAGAAGAAGAGAGAGAAAGAGAAAGAAATCTTGAAAATATTTTGGGAGGAAAGAAAGAGTTGGAGGGACAGCATAGCCAAAGCTAGAAGGATAATAATGGAGAGGAAGAGTGAACCGAAAAGGGCTGGCTTAACTACATCACCACCATACACAGAAGGGGGGCAGTACTCTCAGGTCACAGGTCTAGTCTCCATAACAGGGAATGTAGAGACAGTAGTAGAAAAAGGGAAGCAACAGGCTTCCACACAAAAGAAAGGAAAAAAATCACATTTAGATATCGACTGTTATGGAGGACTGAAGAGTATGTTAAACAAATTGGAAAATTATGGGATAGATGGACAAGATGTTGATGGACAGAGCAAGTGGGATGATGCAAGTAATGAGGAACTAAAACAGTGTGCTGACTCTGAGCAAGAACAGAGTGAGACGGAGGGACAATTATCACACCAAGGAACCACAGGAGGCAACAGATATAGTAACAGAACTAGATGAAGCACTGCAAGCCCACCTGGAAAAATCAAAGAGAAAATTAAGAAACAGAAGAACAATAAAAAGAAACAGACAAATATGGAGCCCAGTATCCCATTTTGGTAAAGGGGATACGGGTTCACTATGTGCCCTGGGGATTGCAGGACCTGGAAGGCCTGGTGACTAGACTGCCTAACCTGCATGAAAGAGCAGGGAAATGGATTAGAACATTTGAAGAACAAACAATGGGGAAGCTACTGGCAGTGGGAGACATGAAGGCATTGCTGGCCAGGGTGGTGGGAGTGGCCAAAATGGAGGACCTGTTGCAGGCGGCTGGCCTCATACAGGCGGTGCGGAGGACGTTACTGGAAGGAGTGGCCTTTGACAGTTATAGGCCAAGACTAAGGCACACTCTGAGAATGGAGTATCCAGCCAAGATAGACCTTAAGGCACTGAGAGGGGAGCCATTGGTGGATAAAGAAAACCCGGCAGGGTACCTGGAGGACCAGCTCAAAAGGTGGCGACAAGAAACAGAAAAAGATCCAGAGGGGGATCCACTGATGGCAACACTGTTCAGGACATCATTGATTGAAGCAATGCTAACGCCTGTCAGAAGCTCCAGCGCTGCCGGAAAAGGGCACCATGGCACCTGTCATCCAGGGAGGTCAACAACCACCGCCTCAGCAGCAAGGCCAACTTGCTCCTGCCTTACCAGTAGTGAATGTGTACACACAACAATCCCCTAGACAGTGGCAAAACAAAAATAATAAAAACAGACCAAGGAAACAATGGTACCGACCACAGCAGCAGACACACCAGAATGGTGGACCAAGAAGACCAGGTGTGTCATGAATGTCTGTGGAATGCGGTAGGCCAGAGTCAAGCGCAGGACACAGAATGAAATGAAAATCTACTTTACTGTATAGTAAAGAAACAAGCAGAACCTCCAATACAGGGAGGAGCAACCCGCTCACAAACGACACTCGTAACAAGTAACAAACACGCACAACACACAGTGGGAGCAAACAGGTTAAATAGGGAAGGACATAATACATAATGGGAAACAGGTGTGCAACACTAGACAACAACCAGATGAACATAGAAACATAAAACATAGATCGGCAGCAGCTAGTACTCCGGTGATGACGAACGTCGAAGCCTGCCCGAGCCAGAAGGAAGGGCAGTCTCGGCAGAATCCGTGACAGTACCCCCCCCCCCCCCCCCAACGCGCGGCTCCAGCCGTGCGTCGACACCGGCCTCGGGGACGGCCAGGAGGACGCGGCGCAGGGCGAGTCGGATGATTGCGATGAAATTCTCTCAACAAGGAGGGATCGAGGATATCCCTCCTAGGAACCCAGCACCGCTCCTCCGGACCGTACACCACCCACTCCACGAAATACTGCAGGCCCCCCCATCCGACGCCTCGAATCCAGGATGGAATGGACCGAGTACGCCGGTGCCCCCTTGATGTCAAGTGGGGGCGGAGGAACCTCCCGTATCTCAGATTCCTGGAGTGGACCAGCTACCACCGGCCTGAGGAGAGACACATGGAACGAGGGGTTAATGCGATAATTAGTAGGAAGCTGTAACCTATAAC